GCCAACGCTAGGAAAAAAAAAAAGTGTGGGCCCCACAGACACGACATCTACAAAACTGCTGATCCTAAGGCCCAGAACGCCGAGCCCGAAGGCCAGAGTCCTGTAGCCTCTACCGCCTCTACCCTAAACCCTAAACCCTAAACCCCTAAACCCTAAACCCTAAACCCTGAACCCCTAAACCCTAAACCCTGAACCCCAAACCCTAAACCCTCGACCCCTCGTCACTCTCAACCCACCCCATGCCCTCCTTCGAGCCCGTCGGGAAAGGGTTCAGCAAGATGTAGGCAATCTGCAGACTCAGAAGCCTCTCTGCGTTGGTGTCCTTCAGAGGGACGCCACACGATTAGGGTTTAGGGTTTAGGGTTTAGGGTTTAGGGTTTAGGGTTTAGCCTCTCTGCGTTGGTGTCCTTCAGAGGGGACGACTGGCTTCGAACGGAAGAGGGTTGGATGAGATGAGCGGTTTAGGGTTTAGGGTTTCTGTGTGTGCGGGCATGTGCACAAAAGGCGCTGCACCGGCCATGGTTTTTCTGAAATGTCCCACCCCCCCAAAGAGAAGACAAATTGCAAAACCCTAGTTATCTGTCGGCTGAAGACGGAGAACGACATACTTGCTTCAAAAACCACCGGATTACAACGGACAGTTTGAAGTTGAGCGCCGCTGAGCCAGAACGGAAACTTTCAGAACGACCTTTCTTCAGATAATACAGGGGCCTTAATAGTTAGAATAGGGTCTTGGGGAAGAATATACAAAGAGTTATATCGGTGATTGTGTAGGCTTCTATGTCTCATGGTGAGCGCCTGATTCAGGAGACTACAATGCTTGGCTGACTTTTGAATCCTTCCCCAAAGTTGAACTTTTAGCCTACTTACTATATGGGTAGTTCTCTAAATTAGGGTCCCTTTTGAGGGTCCTTTTTATAAGGGTGCCGTACTATATTGGGACCCAAAAAGGACCCTACTTTAGAGAACTACCCATATAGTTCATATAGAAACCCCAAAAGTTAACGTCCTGAGAGCAACTGAGGAATAGTAAACGTGGTTGCAGTTTCGGGGCCCTTAAAAGCATTCATGAATGGGTATCTCTATAAGAACCACAAGAGAAATTTTAAAGCTTCCCAAAGTGCCACCTAACAAACTGATAACAGGAACATTTACTCATACCCGTAGTGAAATTAGCATACGTGCATGAAAGACCCCTTCCGAAAATCCTAAACCCTAAACCCTAAGACTAAGTACCAGAAGTGCCAGGCCGCCCGGTACTTGTCCCAGGCTTGCTTGAAATCCCACATCGCCGACACCTTCCACTTCAAGAACTTCAAGCTGTCTGGGAGCTACAGAAAATGCTATGTACCGGAAACGGGGTGCACGGTCATGGGACCCTAAACCCTGAACCCTAAAGCCCTAAACCCTAAACCCCTAAAACCCTAAACCCTAAAACCCTGAACCCTAAAGCCCAAACCCCTAAACCCCAAACCCTAAACCCTGAACCCTAAAGCCCAAACCCCTAAACCCCAAACCCTAAACCCCCTCAACCCTAAAGCCCCTAAAGTCATGGGAATTGCAGAAACCAGAAGGCCCCAGTAGAAACACGGTTTAGGGTTTAGGGTTTAGGGTTTAGGGTTTAGGGTTTAGGGATCTTTATCATGAGCATCCCAGTGCCTCCGATGTTTACACTACGATAAACACTGCCCGATGTTGGTCCAGAGTGCCTAAAGGAATCCTTCTAAGCCTCTGTTTTGCACACAACCTTGCAAAAACATCCTACAGTACAAGTATACCTATAGTCTCCACTGTAGTTCCTGTTTGGGGATACCCTATAAAATCCTTAATATATATTTGGTTAACCAAAAAAAGGAACTACAATGGAGACGATGGGTAACTCCTATTGCAAACGCAACTGCAGCGCACCGCAGCGTCCAAGTCTGAAGGCCCTCTTGAGGGTTTAGGGTTTAGGGTGAAATATGAAAACCCGTTCATACCCTGACAAAAGGTGCAAGGCCCTGCAAAACCTATAGAACTAAGCAGGGACCTATAAAATCACCGAAAGCCCTAAATAACAAAACAACTACCGGTGCTTGACTCTACGCCCTGGGTAGTTCTCCAAACTAGGGTGCC